TATGTGTATCATGTAGTTACTGTGTTCTATAATTTTTGTGTTTGTGACTAGATTATATAAATTTTATCAAATTTTATTGTACATGTCTCCACTTTTCAATGACGAATATCAAACACGTTTGTATGTCCCTGATATTAATAAATATTATTATTATTATTATTATTAATCCGAAGGGCATAACGGTGAAGTGATAGAGGTCACTTCCGGTGGAGAACGCAGTCTTTTCTTTGTCGTCCGGGTGCAAGCGTACTTGCCAGTAGCCACTCTTCAAGTCCAAGGTCGAAAACCACGCTGAGCCGGATAAGGTCGTCAAGGTATCGTCTATTCGAGGAAGGGGGTAACTGTCTTTCTTCGTGACGTCGTTCAGTTTCCTGTAATCGACGCAAAATCGGGTAGTCCCGTCCTTCTTGGTAATCAAGACTACTGGAGATGACCACGCGCTGTTGGATTCTTCAATTACCCCATCTCTCAACATGTTGTCCACGAGTCTTGTAACTTCTTCTTGTTTGACTAGGGGTAGTCTTCGCGGAGCCTGACGGATCGGTTGCGTGTCACCAGTGTTAATTCGGTGTTCTACGATGTTGGTCTTCCCGAATGGTTCCTCCTCTGAGGCGAAGACATTACGGTGCCTACGAATGAGTCCTTTGGCCAGTTTTCTCTCACGAGCAGACAGCTGGTCCCACTTGACCTCCAAGGCTTTGGTATCCCCTTCCTTAGACTCATTCTCAACGTCTTCTTCCTCGCAGTTCAATACTCGGGCGACTGGCTTACACATTCCGATAATCTCCCCTTTTCTAATATTGACTGCATTGGGAAACACGTTTGCCACACGTAAGGGTATGTCACGATCGGTTTTGACTAGGGTGCTCGCGATCAGGAGCTTGTGGGTCGAGTCACGTGCCGGCTGCACCACCCCCACTAGACCACTAGTCTGACCGTTGCAGCTTCCACATTCGGACGTCCCAGCACAAATTCTTCGGCTCCGAAACGCAGGATTTTCTGTTTTGGATCGATCATTAAACCATACCGGCTGATTAGGTCCATACCCAGAATGAAATCGTCAGCGATTTCCGTCACAAGAACTTCATGCCTTATTCGGAGTCAACCGAGCTCTACATTCACCACCGCTGTACCCAGAACCGGTGCTGTTTCTCCCGTCAACGTGGTCGTGGTGGTACATACCCACTGATTTAATCTGGCAATTTTGTAACGTGGATCTGCTTGCAAGAGACACTTCGGCTCCTGTGTCGATGATGATCTTCGATTCCCGTTCATTGATTTTTCCGCTGATTGTCGGGCTGTCGATGCTCCCCGCGATAATTCTAACCATTATAGTCGTTGGGGGCTTCTCTTTTAGCAGCCAGTACGCGCCCCGAGGTACCGACTGCCTTTAGTTATCCTGCTCCTGATGTAGAGGACGTCGCAACTGAGATCTCCTCATCGGCGCTGGCGATCTAACACGGCAATCCCTCCTAATATGCCCTTGACGCCCACACCTGTAACATTCTAGGCGCCCTCCATGTTGTCTAGAAATGCCCGTCTTGATTTCGGCAATTATTTCGCGGGCGAGTTTCTCAAAGTTCTCGCTCATTTTGTCGAGACTCTGTTGAATAGGGTTTACTTCGGCCTCAACTCCGATACCTCGTATCTTAACGTTGGAACGAGGTGAGCTGTTGTATGCGGCGTCCACTTCTAACGCTCGAATCAGCGCCTCGGATGGTTTCTTGAACCCAGAGATCTGCAGGACTTTTCTTACCTTACTATCTCTTACCCCATTCACGAAGGTTTCTGCTGCCAGCCTGTCTTGGAAGTCTTGCGGAGCTTCAGGATAGGCGAGGTGTACCAAACGTATAACATCTTCCGCAAACTCCTGAAGAGATTCATTACTCTTCTGAATCCTAAATTTAAGCTGCGCTTCGAAAACTTGCCGGAGGTGTTCATCTCCAAATCTGAGTTCGAGGGCGGTCGCCAAGGCGGTATAGTCCCTCTGGTTCTCTTCTGATAATGTTTGTAGAATCTCCAGAGCTGCACCTCGTAGTGCTACTACCAAGGCGGTCGCTTTCTGTTGGTCATTCCAGCTATTCGACAAGGCCGCAGCTTCAAATTGCTTCTTATACTTTAGTAGTCTACGACGTCTGCCCATCAAAAATAGGGGATTGAACTCTCACCTGTGTGAATTCTGCAGGTGTCGTAATTGTAGGTCGTGGTGTTTACAGCCTTTCTTCGAGCTCCTTGATCTTGTTTTCCATTTCATTTCTCACCTCGTCCACTTCATTTCGCACGACTTGGAGGATTTCGCTTCGGCTGTTCAAAAGTGTAGTTTGCATGGCTTTTAAATTTTCTTCCATTATTCTTCGATCTTCTTTTCTATTTTCTTCTATTACTCTTCGATCTTCTTTTCTACTTTCTTCCATTATTCTTTGATTTTCGCTCAACATTTTCATCATTTTGGTCAGTTGTTCCTCTATGTTGGCTGTTTGCGCTCTTGTGGTAGTCGGCATAAAATTTTCTTGTAGAAACTTCTAGAGTCTTGACGGACGTCGCGCGAGAGAATTTTCTCGAAAGTTCACTTTGTTCCGGTCTCCCCTAGTAGCACCAACAGAAATTCGAATACCGATTTATTTCACAATTGGTCCCACTCCTGACATCAGTGTTACGTTTGACGAGCGAATAATAAATCGGGCGTAGGTAAAACTCAAAGATTTATATCTTTAGCTTGAATTACACTAATATCTATTGCAACGAATATGTACAGAAATTATTCCGGCTCTCTTGACTGTCTTCACTGGCTGAATAATCCATTACCTACGGTGGCCTCTATTTAAACCCATATTCTCTGATCGAGATCTTTTACGAACATCCATTGCGACTCCCCTTCGAGACTTCCCTGGACGCCGCTTCGAGACGGCACCGTCAGCAGTGATGATTCACCCATCAGCGCCGTGCGTACGTCCAGAAAGCTCTCGACGGCCATAGGTGTCGTACTGGGGCGGCGTAAGGGTGTATTTTGTAACAGTATTGACACCTTCTTGGAGTCAGAATTTGGTTTCCGCTACTAAACACCCGTTCCACAGGTGCAGAAGAAGGGATTGTGGTATTAAATTTTAAAAATAAACATTTTACTGTAGCATAGTTATTCAAGACTGAAAAATCTTTTCTTTTTTCCTGCAAATAGGCCATCGCTTCGCTGTTTGATGTGTCGCAAATTGTGCAATATTTATTACGTACGCTTAAAAAGAATATTTTTTTTGTTTTTATTCCCATACTACAGTGTCCAAATTGTGTTTGAGTATATCTAATAATTATATCCAGCATTAAAATTAATATTTCAAAAGAATACGGGAAATGATTATTCTGTGTTGAAGGTCTGTTGTCGGCAACCTGTCATAAATTATTATTCTTCAATATCGGCTTACGATGTTTTTACGACCATGTCCGGGAATCGTCTATCCCAGTGTGGCAGGTATATCAGCCATTCCACGTGAATGAGGAGAACGAAGGCTAATTCAAAAACTGATTTCCAATGCATTCAAAGTTAGAAAAAATGGATAAGTTTCAAGTTTGAACACAAAAAGTGTGCTGTAGTAAACAAAACTGTATTAGAGAACATCAGGATTTGTAAACAAAAGAAGAAACTAAAAAGGGTGATGACTCAGGGAGTTTAGAGAATTAAGAATTTTGTGTTCGTGGTTTTGCTCTTTTCTTTTTAAATTTAACTGTCCGTTACTTGCAGTTGTTCGCTGTAGAAAGTGTCCGCCACTAGAGGATTTAGTACATTCCAAGTTATTATAATATTTGCTAATTATGTATAAATATTTAAGAAGTTTTCTTGCTAGTTTGTCTTGAAAAATTGCATACGGCATCACACCCGTCACACGCCGAGTCACACCCGTCACATCAGAAAATAATATTTTTTAAGGTACTGGGAGGTAATTCATTTCAACTAATAACGTCTCATTTTAGTTCCATATGTGAGCTACTTGCAAAAATAAATAAAAATAAATAGAGTAAAAAAAAGTTTGATAGCTCGCAGAAATCACGAAGCATCATGAGAAATGTGTTGTGGTCAGTCCGATGAAAGTCACACCCGTCACATTTTATTTTTTTAGTAATTTCAGTCCAAGCCAATACAATTAAGACAACTAATTTTTTCTTTGAGACCATTCTTATATAAGGAAACTAGGATTATAGTTGTAATACTTAACAGCTATAGCTGTTCAAGAAATTAATTGTTGAATCTTGGATTTGCTTATTCAAATGTCACACCCGTCACAATGGAATGGCCGATATACATTTTAGGAAGAATTGCTGGTTCCGTTTAAGGCAAAATAAGTACAATTTCTCAGAAAGGTATTTAAACCCCTAATAGGATCAAAAGCTGCCTGGCAGGCCGGAATCACCAGAGTGTAACTTTAAATTTTCAGATTTTTCTTGAAACTCACTTTATTTTAATCTCGTTTCACGATTTCTGAGAATATATCACGATAAATTATTCTACCGAGGGTTGTAAAAATATTAATTTTATTGCCCAAGATTTACACTTAAACATAATCGGCACATTCTAGGTCAAAACGGACCTGCCAAGCCCGCCTCGCGTTAGGTCTAACAATGAAAAAGTGAAGAAATGACACATGTGGCAACAGGAAAAGATGCTACATTTGTCTGAAAAATAAAGGTATAAAACAGTAACAAATATGCGAATTATGCGAGAGAAATGTATGTATTGAACATTCGATTAGTCGATTACAGAACTAATTTGTGCTAATTGAAAAAATTAATGATTATGTAACACGTAATAACTACTGAAAAAAGTGAAATAAAAAAATGTATCTGTATCTGCGCCATTAATTTTGTATCTAGATACAGATATTTTGTGCTTCAATTCGATTTTATCTAGATACAGATACTAGATACCCAAAAATGTATCTGGACACTTTATTTAGATACAAGTATCTAGATACTGCCCAACACTGGTGGTAACAATGGAAAAATATACTTACTGAGAGTGGCAGCTGCTGCACTGACAACGTCCACAGGCACCAAAACCATCCTTCCCTGAGCTTCATACTCAAAGCTGCACACCAACTTAGGTACAACAAGATCGAGATATAAAATTTTATGCGCAAAGTCCATTCTACAAATTACCCACCACTGATTCTCATTACAAATTTCGCTATAGCGTACGAACCTGGCGTCAGTACTTTTGATGTCTGTGAAACCAGAAATTTTGAATTTGCTGAATTTTTGTCGCAGGCCCGTTATCTCTTCTCCAAACACAAATGTTCTTTCATTGGGTGTCACATAAGGGTCCAAACTGACTAAACCGTATTCAGCCAGAGGTTTGTTCAAGTATTTTATGGCGTCTTGGATTGCTGACGACAAACATTTGTCGAAATTGGGCTTTCCTTTGTCACATTTTTTGAAATTTGTTGCTGTGACATTGGTGTCAAAATGGGTGTGAAGTTTGAGTGAGGAGACTTACGTAGTTTTGCGGATTGGTATTGATGTAGTGTTGATAAAACAACCAGAATAATTGTTGTTGTTTGCTTCATGGTTAATAACGTGGGATCTATGGATGTGCTGAATGGACTTTTATTTATATGTATCTATATAAATTGACTGATGTTTATACAATGATTTGTGTTCTTATATACATTTTGCAACTATACAGTTTTATAATAATTATTATGTTGTTTAAATGACCAAGGTCTCGTAAATTAATATTTTTCCAGAAAATGTGATTCTTGATTGAACGTTATTGCTACTTTTTTTTGTAATAAAGAAATATACGTTACCTACTTGCCTTGGTTTTGCAGAAAAGTAAACGGTTGAGTTCATGTTTGTTGCTTTAAATGTTATGAGTTAATATAGTCCTGAAGTTGTGGTTTATGAATCCGTTATGAATTTTTATCCTAAACATCGAGATTTTTGAAAAAATGTCCAAATTGTAGATGGCCGTTTTTTCAACTTTTCAGCGTTTTGATTTAAGTATGGATTTTTCAACTTTTGATTTCTGAGTTTTTCGATATTTCAGTTTTGGGATTTTGCACTAATTTGATTTTTCAGTTTTTTTGATATTTTAATTTTTCAATATTTAAAGTTTCTAGTTTTTTCGACGTTTCGATTTTCCAGTTCTACGATCTTTCAATTTTTCCAATTTTTAAATTCTAGATTTTTCAGTTTTTTGATGTTTTTAATTACCCCATTTTTCGATTTTTTGACTTCTCGATTTGAGACTTTTCGTTTTTTCAGCTTTTCCATTTTTAATTTTTTTGATTTTTCTATTTATCAATTTTTTAGGTTTAAGACCCACCACTGACCCGGAAATGACCGGCATTCAGGCAAGACTTCTATCATTACGGGTACTAAGACCAAGTAATGATATGCATTGATTAGATTAACAGAACAACTTTCGAGATTCTAGAATTACAGCATACAAATTAGTCTGCTATTATTCTCTAATCTCACCCCATCCCCAAAAGTCTAGCGTAACTACCGATCATTTATCCGCGCATCACTTGGAAAGTGACCTACACTACTCTGACCTACTGGTGCTAATCTAATCTGACTGACATGATCAGACTGTTCAAGAAACTTACGAACAATATGACATGTTCCTAACAAAACAGCTTTTTGAATTTTGATAATTATTGAATCATTCAAATGCAAAGACTTTAAATTCTCAACTAAGTTATTTGGAACTACACCTACATTAGAGATAACTAGGGGTAGAATTGAAATTTTTTTAAGATTCAACATGGATTTCATTTCTATCGATAATTGTAGATATTTTGAAATCTTGGTGTGGTATGTTTGAATAATGTTGTTTGTGTTAGGAACAGCAATGTCAATGAGAATGGCTTCGTTCGTGTGTTTTTTGATAAGTATGATGTCTAGTCTGTTAGCTGTAATGTTTAAGTCTGTAATTATTGTGCGATCCCAGTATAATTTGTATTTGTTATTTTCAAGGAACGGAGATGGAATGTAAGTGTAATACGGTGTCGTATCTTCGATTAAGTTCATAAGTGTTGCTAATTCTTTGTGGATGATTTTGGCGACGTTGTCGTGTCTAGCTTTGTAGTCAGTTTGTGCTAAGATGCTGCAAGAAGAGATTATGTGCTGAATCGTTTCAGGTTTTGCTTTGCAGAGACGACAGCAGTCGTTTTTTGTGTTCGGATCTTTGATGATGTATTTTTTGTAATTCTTGGTATTGATTACTTGGTCTTGAATAGCAAACACAAATCCTTCTGTTTCAGCATACAAACCTGATTTTTTTAACCAAATCAATGACATCTTCTTATTGACATGAGTTTCTTCTAAGTCTTTGTAGAATTTTCCATGTAGTTGTTTTTGTTTTAGCCCACTTATTATTTTATCTATTGTGTGGGGGGTGTGGATTTCTTCGGTGTTCGACAGATTTAAGGGTGTGTGGTTCAAATCTGCTCTTGTGATGGTGCGAAACATTTCATTTCTTTCCGCTCGTTTCAAGAAATACTTCTTCAAATCTGAGATTTGTCTCTGACATAAGTTTTCTAGGTTCTGGAAACCTCTTCCTCCATTCTGTCTTGGTAATGAAAATCTTTCAATCGACGATTTTGGATGATGCCTTCTATACTGTGTGAAGATTTTCCTTGTTGCGATGTTTAAATTTTCAAGATCAGTTTTGGACCATTTAATGACTCCAAAAGAATATGTTAGCAGTGGAACGCAGAATGTATTTACTGTTTTCATTAAATTTTTTCCATTTAACTGTGTCTTCAATATTAATTTTAATCTCGCTAGGTATTGATCTTTCAACTGTGTTTTCGTTTTGGTATGATTGATGTGGGATGATTGACAGAAACCCAGATATTTGTATGTATCGTCTCGTTCTTGGGCTTCGATTATTTCGTTATTCTGGGTTATATGTGGTACTTGATGTTGGACGCCTTTTTTTATTGCTTGGGTCTTACATTTCTCAATACCAAAAGACATACCAATATCACCGGAAAATTGTTCAGTCAGATTTAATAGGTTTGTTAATTGATTTTGTGTACTTGCATATATTTTTATGTCATCCATATACAGCAAGTGACTTATTCTGTTTTCTCTTTGTTTGTTAATTCTTATATTGAACCCATAATTGCAGCTGTTCAGGATATCGGAGAGGGGATTTATTGCTAAGCAGAACCATAACGGACTAAGAGAATCGCCTTGAAAAATTCCTCTTCGGATCATTATTGGATCTGACTGAATTGTGGAGGGTGGTCTTCCAAAATTCCATGGAACTGTAGTGGGCTCTGTAGTTTTGTAAAAAGATAATTGATTGTGACTCTTCGATTTTCGATTTTAAAATGTTTTCATTCTTGACGTTTCTAAATTTTTAATTTTTTGATTTCTCAATTTTTCCATCAATTTATTTTCTGATTTTTTCATTTACCAACTTTTCAATATTTCGTTTATTAGAATTTAAATTCTTCAACATCTTGAATTTTCAATTTATTAAATTTCAAATTTCTGATGTTTCATTGGTTGATTTCTCAATTTTTCGATGTTTCACTTTTGGGATTTTTCAAGTTTTCGATTCTTCAATTTTTCTTCCATTTTTTCAATTTTTTGATATTTGATTTTTGGAATTTTGTACAATTTTGGTCTTTCAATTTTTCGAATTTTCGAAATCTGGATTTTTTAATTTTCGGTTTTTTATTTCTTCGAATTTAAATTTTAATTTTTGAATTTTCGATTTTTCGATTTTTCGAGTTTCGTTTTATCGATTGTTTGATTTTTCAATTTTTTGATATTTTAATTTTTCAATTGTTACAATTCTAAATTTTTTCATTTTTCGATTTCTCGAGTTTTCGATTTTCCAGTTCTTCGATCTTTCAATTTTTCCAAAAATTTTTGAATTTTCGATTTTTAATTTTTGAGTTTTTAAGTTTTTTATTTTTCTTTTCTCGATTTTTTAATTGTGCTATTTCTCGATTTATCGGGATTTCAAACTTTTCGATTTTTCAGCTTTTTGATTTATCTATGCATTTTTCCACTTGTGATTTCTCAATTTTTCGATATTTCAGTTTTTGGAATTTTTGGACCCTTGAATTTTTCGATTTTAAAATTAAAAATTTTGACGTTTTTAAATTTTTAATTTTTCGATTTCTCAATTTCTCCATTAATTTTCAATTCCTTAACTTCTCGATTTTTCAATTTTCCAAATTTCATTTTTCTGATTTTTCAACTTTTGATTTCTGAGTCATTCGAAAAATTACCAGTTTTTCAATTTGTAGATTTTTTTACTTTTTTTATTTTTCAATTTTTCGATTTCTCCAGTTTTTTGGTTTTTCGACTTCAAAAATTTTTAACTTTTCGATTTTCCGATTATGGCCAATTTCGATTTTTCAATTTTTTTGATTTATCGACTTTCGACTTTTCGGTTTTTGTAATTTTCAACGTTTCGATTTTTCAGTTTTTCGATTTCCTAATTTTTCGTCGTTTCACATTTACAATTTTTCAATTTCTCGATTGTTTAGTTTTTCAATGCTTCAATTTGCTAAAATTTCAATTTTTGCTTTTTTTTAATTGTGGACATTTGATTTTTCGATTTCTCCGTTTTTTTCCATTTTCGGTTTTTAAATTTTAGATTTTTGAATTTTTCAATGTTTCAATTTTTTTGATGTTTCGAGTTCTCGATTTTTCTATTTTTCAACTTTTCGATTTTACGATTTTTGATGTTTCAACTTATCGACATCTGCGTTAGTATTTTTTAAGTTTAAGTATATTTCAACTTTTTTATTTCTCAATTTTTCATCATTTTAATTCTGGGAACTTTTGAATTTCTGGATTTTTAAATTTTTGGATATTTTAATTTTTCAATTTTTCAGTTTGCTCAATTTCTCAATTTTAAAATTTTTAATTTGGCAATTGTGGAATTTTTCAGTTTTTCGATTATTCAGTTTTTCTTCCATTTTTCAATTTTTCCATATATTAGTTTTGGGATTTTTCCTGTTTTAATTCTTCAATGCTTCGATTTTTCGATTCCTGGATGTTTTACTTCTCGATTTTTCAATTCTTCGATTTTTAACTTTCTCGATTTCTCGACTTTTCAATGTTTCGTTTTTCCAGTTTTGCATTTCTTCAAGTTTCTGATTTTTCAATTTTCGATTTTCAGGTTTTTGATTTTTCGACTTTGATTTTACACGAGTTTTCGGTTTCTCAATTTTTCGATTTCTCAATGTTTTGATGTTTGAGTCTTGGAAGTTTTCACTTTTTCGATCCATCAAGTTTTCTTCTCAATTATTCGATATTTCAATTTTAGGATTTTGTAATTTTTCGGTTTTTCGATTTCTTGATTTTTTATTTTTTCGATTTTTGAATTTAAAATTTTTCATTCATCGATTTTTGTATTTCCGATTTTTTAATTCCTCAATTTTTCGATTTTCAGGTGCTTGAGTTTTCAATTTCTCGGTTTTTTGACATTTATTTTTATTTTATTGACGACAAGACAAATGACGTAGACACAAAACTTGACTTATTTTTAGATGTAATAATAAACGCGTGCAATCTGTCATTTCCTGAA